GGTGGGTGGTTTTTTTTTTTTCTGCTTGTGAAGAAGCAGCTGAAATAGTGGATTTTATGCAGTTTCTCAGTTTTTGAGTTCTTATGCAGTACTGTGCAGATAAAATGAGAGCATAACGTTTAACAAAGTTAACTCTACGCATTTAAATCTTACTTTTATTTAAAGCTCGATCACCAGAGGGCAGCAAACAAAACGAAAATGAGGACCATAGCTGGCAAGTTCACGGCTGCCTGGCAGTTGGAGGTGAGCGTTCTGCATTTCCTGCGCTACCAAGATCCACAACGGCAATTGATTTCACTTGACCTTCAGGTTCAGTTTTGCTGATGGACTTTTTTCTATTCTCTCTCTTTCTAAGAGTTTTAAAAAGAACCAATCATTCTGACTTAGAAAACTGATCAGTCAATCTGTTGATCTCTCAAGCTATTTGAGCAGAGGGTAATAAGCAACAGAAAGGTGAAATCCCTTTTATGACTTGTCAGTTAATCCAAGTTATTTTGCTATACTCTATCCTTAATTTACTTGTTCAGTAACATTTTAATTACGTAAAACGTGTTGGAACTTTACTATTTAAAGACTCAGAAAGAATTTTCAATCTTGTCTTTTTGTTATTTGCACCAAATAGTCAATACAGCACTTACATTGCGTATTCAAGTACAGAAGAACACTGATGTGGTTCTAAAAAAAAAAAAAAATTACTTCTACAGTTTTGCATGGAACTGAGCATGATTCCGTATGCACAGAGATGCACTCACAGGTATTAATCAAATGTGTGCATTTATTCTTGTCAGTTGAACGGTTATCATATGATCTGCATAGCCAAATTAATATTTTGCATTTGCAAATTCAGACATCATACCAAAGTCTTTTTGGAACAATGGACTGAGATGTTTGTCATAAAACAGGCTTTGGCATTTTATTAGCTCCGGAAAGTTTTTTTCTTTTTTCTTTTAAACTATTTTTAAATATCCGTTGTGGTTCCCAGTCACAAGCAGACTGACTTAGTCTCTCCATATCTTTATAAGACGACATTTTTGTAATGTTATATCATAGTATACCTAAATGTTTCTGATTTAATTTTAAAGCACACTTAAAACAATGTTTTTAGTTGGTAGAAAGTGTTACCTGAGATCAGACACTGAGTAGCGTTTTCTAATAACCAACCGGCAATGCCAAAGCTGATCAAGCTCCTGTATTCTAAGGAAAACCAAATTATTGACTAAAGTAAAAAACAGAGATGTATATCATTGGGAATCCCAGCCTTTTGTCTGCTAAATGACAAAACAATATTTTTGGATTTATTCTGATCATGAAGTCTTCTTGCATATAAACTCAGTAGAAATTTTGTATACAGAACATATAAATAATACAGAACTGGAATTTAACCTGACAGAGTTTTAACTGACAAGCACAAGTGTACTTTCATGCTTTGATAAAACACACATTGACAATAACTGCATGTGTTGTTTGTCCTAATTTTTAAACTCTCTTTTTACAGCAACACTATGATTTTTCCTTACTTGCGTTACTGCAGAAATAGAGAAATACTGAAATTGTAGAGTACAAGCTATTACTTCTAGCTCGATCAGAAAAAAACTATGATACGTACAAGGACAAAACTAATCAAGAATAAAAATTTAATTTCAAATTCATATGAATAAGATTAAACTATTACACTGCAATTAACTTCTTTACTGGAAATAAACATCCATTTATAGGAAATGAATCTGTGGTTTGGACGATATTAGGGGAAAGGAGGAGCATTTTACTGAATCGCAGACATTGGAGATTGCAACATACATCAGAACATGTTCCTTACCACGTGCTATGTTACTAGTCAGAAGAAATAGTAGTGTTTTGTAGGCTTACAGAAATGATAAAAATGGAGCTGCCACGTTACTGCTCGGAAGACTATTCAACAGGTTAAGGTCACTTTTTTGTAAGAGTATTTTTTTTGGTAAGAGTAGTTGTTTATGCAGTTTAGTCTGAACTTTGATGTTGTCACTTGCATTCCTTGACTTTTAGTCTTAATTTCAAAGTACCAAACAACCCCAAGCCCCTATTTTTTCTAGGTGTTTTCTACTCTTAAAAGTTCAAATTGCAGACGAAAAAAAAAGATCTCCTGCACGATGCTGCAGCAGAAATTACAGTCATCTTTTTATGTCCAACAAAAACAATCATCTATCCATGACAGATGTATCCATTTAATCTTACTTCTAAGGATTTGGGTTTTTTTTAGGTTTATTAATTTTCAAGTTCTTTCTTTCTACCGAATAAGTATCTGCTGAACTGTTTCCACCTTAATATTAGTTTGACACTGAATCTCATTTTATTATATTATTCCCATGTTTCTAATCTACAATAATTCCAACGGGTTCCAGGTTAGTATCTAAAACAATAATGGGAAATCTGACCTTTCAACTTCGTCCGCCCTGTTTAGTATCATATAATGTTTCAAGCGCTGGAGAAAATCATTTTGATTTTCTTGGTTTGATAAAACTGATATAGTAAGAATTTTTAATTTAGATGTTATAAATTCCATATTTGACAATATTAATTGACCTATACTAGTTTATATATTTTTATATTCCATATTCATTTAATATTTTCTTTTAATATCATCCAAACAGGTTTTTTTACGCATTAAAATGAAATGTTTTGACATTGTCAAAGTGAAATCACACTCCTGAAACAGTTCAGAATTTGGAGCTTTCATCTGAACTTGGAGCTAATGCAACATTTTCAGATGTCAACTTTTCTTAGATTCACAGAAATATCTTTTGACTTATGCTGTTGATCATCCTGTAACAAGTTGTGAGTTATACTTCCCATATCAGGTTCTACGAACACAAGAAGCCTTTTTTTAAGTCTTTTTGTAATGTGGCCCAAAGAAAGTGTCTAAATTTAAAAAGCTAAACATTTTTTATGAACAGCAGATATTCCAAATTAATAAACTTGTGACAGCTTAGTCTGTTAACTGAGGTAAAATTTATTTAAAATAAAGTTATGCTTGTGTCAGCACAACTTTCCCATTTTACTTTAATTCCTTTTTTCCAGTCTTCTAGAATACTACTGAATCATACACCAAAAAAAAAAAAAAAATCTCTTCAATCTGTCCATGAACATTGTTTTCTCAGCTTTAGAAATCTGTTCACAAAGAGGCATTTGCTTGTATTCACAACAGCTGCTAGTCTAAACTTCGGACAGCGAAGGTCTGATTTTGCCGTTGGCTGAAGCAGCTCCTTAAGTACAAGGTGACTAAGGCTTTTCTGCATACAAAATTTAAGGACCAAACAGAGCTCATATGCCTCCCTCCTCTCAAATGAGAACGTAAAAAATGAAATGAATAAGCCACTAGGAAAAAAAAAGTCTGCAGGAACAATCAGCAAAACTCACTTTTTCGCATTTCATTAGTTCACTAAAACTGCAAAGTTGTATCTATGATCACATTCATCAGCAATGCAATTCCAGTAAGAATTATTCTTTGTTCATGTTATGCTAGTAGAAAACGTAATTTGTTAGAAACGTGAGGCCATTCTTGAAACACCACCGTAGTTTTTGTAATTTTTAACTCTTGAACCTGCGGTTATTTTTTTAGCATTGGAAAGGCTGGCAAATGACCCGAATGTATAATGCAGTCATGGCAATCAAACAAACGCTCAGAACGAATGCCATCACTTTTTGAACATGATAAGTTGAGCTCAGCTTGACAGTAAGTACTACATCACATGAACTTGCGAGAACCTGATAACTTGAATTAGATTGACTAATTAGCAGTCCATGCAGAAATGCTAAACTCCTTGAAAAAAGGCATCAGTTCCGCAAGAACCTTGTTTCACAGACACCTGGTTTACTAGCTAATCAAAGTTATATTCCTCCAAAGACCACAAAATAATCATGGAAAGGTCCTTAGTACAGGTGTTTCACTTACTGTTGCCATATATGCTCTAAAATTCAACTACTTGATTAATTTATTTTAAATTAATAAATTCTATGAACACATATGTAATACAGTAATACATAAGCAAATTATAATAATCTAGTGTCAATTACATAAGCCCCTTCTTTCAAATTGGACTCCATCAACCATTCCACCTCAAGAAAAAGCCCAAGAAAAGAAAATACTGTCATTGATATGAACAGATTTTCTAAAGTAATAAAGTACTGAGCTAGCATAAAGACAAAATTAGAAAGCTGGGCTGCATGTGTCTTTCAGGAAATGAAAACTTATATTAGCGGTTCTTTTTGCATGCATTAAGCTTAGTTTTATCATACACCCTTCTGAAAAACTTCCGCAATTGCAATCATTATTCAGAAAGCAGGAATAAAGAGTTTTAATTACATGTTAACGTACACTCAGTAATCATAGAATACTTCAGGTTGGAAGGGACCTCCAGGGGTCATCTAGCCCAACTCCCTGCTCAAAGCAGGTCTGATCAGAGCAAGCTGCTGAGGGCCACGTCCAGTTGAGTTTTAAATACCTCCCCTCCAATGATGGAGACTCCACAGCCTCTCTGGGCAAACTGTTCCAGTATTTGACCAAAATCTGCCTCAAGATATGATTAGGCATGTCTTGATAATGTAAATAGTTTATGTTTATGCATTAATCAATCAGATATCATATGTGTTGTTAATACTACTGAAAATGTGATAAAAAGGAGTGCTGGAGATGCATGCCAACCAGAACAAGCAGCTTCCATTAATTTATTGTTCTATTTGTCATCCATAAAGTTTGCACAGTGATTCTTCAATTTCTTGATAATGCTAGACGAATCAAGTTTAGCAAATACACCCATCTCACATTTTCAACGCAAACATCAGGAAAGGGCAAAGAAAAATTTCTGTGAAATCACATTTGAAAAAGGACCTTCAATGCTCATCTAAGTAGTTATAACCAGTAGTAAATAATAATCATAATAGTAATAATAATAATAATAATAATAATAAAAAGATCTCTCACCAAACCTCTTCCTGCATATCACCATTTCATTTATGTCTCTTACCGGTCTTTCATGTTCAAGGATTGATGACTTTCCCGGCTCATATTCAAAAATACTTCTTGGTTCAGAACGGAATTTGCGGGTGTCTACCTTTCTGTCAGGGGGATCCCAGTCATTTCTAAATAACAAATAGGAGCAATTCAGTTGGACTGTCTTCCCCATCTGCTTTACAACTGCATGCAAGAGATACATGCACATCAGCAGACGAATTTCATCATCCTTTCTCTTTCCAGTTTTCACTGTGAAATGTCTGGCCTGCCAGCCCACCATTTTAACCACTCTATCATCTGAACCTGCTTACAGCAGGCAAATTCAGTACAGGTGGAAAATTACTGGGGATGCCCAGCCTATGCGATCCCTCATACTGTTGTTAGTAGACCAGTTTGAAATCTTTTCTGACATACCCTCTCAAATCTCAAACGTATTATACTTGCTCTTATGTGAATCTCATCATTTACCATACTAAGTAGTACAAACAAATGATAGATGTTTTTCATTGCACAATATAAAAAGTCCATACTGAAAAGTTTCTGAGACAAAAAAATGAGGAATTATTTTAAAAGAAAGTGAAGTTTAATAGATGCTCTTTTTACTGATCTGCAGTAGAATTCCTCCTGAATATTCTGTAGGCAACATACTGTTTCTTTGGAAATTTGAGCGGATAAACGAGACCAGCAAGAATTTAAAGGTGTAAGCTGTTTAGGACAATGGCAGTTGACATGGGGACAAGAACTTTATTCATCACTTCTATAATTATAGATTTGCTTTCAATTTACCAGTGTTATGACACAAAAAATAATCCCTATTATTCTGCTATTTTTTGTCCCTTTACCACGTTATACAAATGGCTACCTGCACGTTTTTGGGAGATAGTTAGCTAGCTACTACCACAGTAAGAACTATTATTTTCAGGCAGTTTTTGTAGTCACTACCCATACTGCATTTTGAATAACTGCAAGTCACACACCTTTTATTTAGCTCTGTTGCAAATGATCCACTAGGTACTCATAGAACGGGTGAAAGAAAGGGGAAATTCTGGTCGTCACTGCTGTGTTTCCAACACGAAAGAGCGTGCTCTGTTTAAATTATGTTATCCTTTCTCTTAGTTAGACGTGTGCATTAAAAAACGTATGGAGTAGCTTTTTGTTTATAGTATGTTTACGAGTGCAAGTAATGGGACACAGACATCTCTACTTATAAAATGCCATACATTTTAAAGTGAAACAGTTCCATATAGTTCTTTACTGCATATTTTCACTGAGGAAAAATGACAGTTTCAGAGGGAATATTTTCTGAGAAAGAACAGGAAAATGGAAATGTTCTAATCAAGTTGGCATTATATTGCAATTTTCTTCAAAGAAAAAAAGATGCTACTGAAATTCTGATTCACACTCAATTTACTTCATGTAATGTTTAGTTTGTAATCCCCTATGGACTGTATTTTTGAGCCTGACTGTTATGCAAAGGCCATCTTGCCTCCCAGGTCTAAAATTGTGATATATGTGTGGACCTTAAACCTCTTATGTGAGATTTTAAAGAGTCATATTTTGTAGGCAATTAAAAAGAGAATTTTCCAAAGACAAGAAAAGATTGTCTAGCTCTAGCTATCAGCAGCAGGCAAAGCATAACTGAAGAGTCCGGCACCCTTTGGCCTGGAGAACCTGGATTTCCACTGCCTGCCTTAACTTGCAGGAGATTAAAGAGAAGTTGAACATCCAGATTAACTGCTGAAGTGGTTATTTTCAAGCTTGACAAAAAGAACTGTAAGCGGTCTCAATTTTTGTGACCAAGGCATTCGGCCTAGGACAGGATGATGACTCATAACTTCAGAGACCAGGCAAAGTTAAGCAGATCTACCTTCATTTGGTGTCTTGCTTACAAAACCTACCCTTCTATATGGCTTATTAACAAAATTCAAAGCTCTTGGCCTTTGGGAGGCAGCCCAACTCTTAACAGCTAGCAGTTGTTCTTGACAGCCTGCCCTCAGCAATAGGAATAGCTAAACTCAACAGTCACTGAGTCAAGTATCTTTTGTACTTTTGTACACAAACCCCAAGCTCAGTCACAGACTGTAGGTAAGAGAAATAAAGAGAGGATTTCCCCATAACTTTCTGAAAGGGCAAACAAAGCCAAACTGATTTAAATGCATGACTCTTAAGTGGTTTAGTTTGGCAGGTATAAGCACTGCATGTGCTACTGTAGATCATCTGACATTCTATTTCTTATTCCTCTGACATATGTATACCTGCTGAATGATCTTTGGGTTGCCACCATCTATAATTTTTCAAAAAGCCAAAATCATAAACTGAATGACAGTTCAGTTTTAACACTTCAGATGCTCATTTCTTCTACAATTTATTCAAATTGCTGAGTTTTTTAATTTGAAACTATTTAATGTTCATTCAGTTTCTACATATAAAAATGTTTACAGTGTCCAAGCTGACAAATTGCCAGAGTTTATTTTGTGGCTTGAAGCTATCCAACCAAGACAGTTGTCTTGCATCCACAAACGGAACAAGAATGAGTGCTTTTAGGATTAAAATATATACATGTGTAGATACATACATATAGAAAAGTGTAATAATTGAATATTATATTAGTATTAATGAATGTAAACACTAAAGAAATACCTGTGTGCTTGAACTAGTATCTACAACTATGATGAGGATTCTAGAATTTGCACACAGAGCACTTTTCATGTTTTTATCAGACGGATAAAACAGGACTTCCTGAGCTAACAGGTATTCACTGCTACCAGACTGGATTTAAATGACAGTACCTGTTTTCATGCAGCCAGCGAGAAGTGATGAGAAATCTGAAATGGCCTTTTAATCTGGTCTACCAAAAACACAGATGGAGATTAAAAAAAATGGGGATATAAAACTCTTCACAGCTCCGGGGAAACGAGGGATGATTGTTATACTCTTACAGTTTTGCTTTCCTTGAATTTCAATTTACTAAATCATTTAGAACCTATCACTTTCCTAGTGGATACCGTAAACAGCCTTTCCTGCTCAGAGTCCATCTTTCTAACAACTGCTCCAGACAGCTGCTACAGCATGGATTGTTCTGAAGCACAACAAACACGTCAGTCCTGCTAAATGAGAATGAAAAACTTAAATGCTCATGGTGGTGTCACTTGTAGGAATAAGCACTTCTTCAGCACATTGAAGAAATGGCGTTACCAGGCTTTTGTCCAAACCAGCAGTGAAGATTACCCCTGATCACATCACTGTCCCTTGAGTAAAGGCCTTGCAGTCACATTACTTCTATAATTGTTGTTTTATCCTTCATGATATCCTGTAATTGGATTACTGTACATACACTGGTTGAAAACACATTAACGTACTTTTCTGGTGTAGACCTTTCCCGCAGACGATGTGGTGGAACTGGAGGTGGCACATGTGGAGGTGGTAAAGGGGATGAAACCTTAAAGGCATCGGAGCTGCTGTCAGAAGCACTTTTAGACAATGGTCTGTATGTCTGAGTCTTTGCAGCTGGGTGTGCCTGAGCAGAGAAGGATGGACTGTAGCTACCTAATGAAAATGAAAAACAGAAATAGTCACAGTATGAGAATGAGTTTTAATAAATAAAACATGCAATACTACAAGAACCCATAGTTAAAGCTGCAATGTTATAAAAAGGTATAAATGCATTATTAAAAGCACATTGTTACATAGTATGTAGCTCATTATAATACTTTTTATGCATTTCTATATAAATCTACAAACACATGAAGAGTATTCTACAGTTAAATTAAATTAACAGCCAACAGGGATGGAGGGTTAATGGCTGTATTTGTCAGAGCTGTTAGTGGCAACCTGTTATTAACACCTAGGGCTCATCCTGCCTTCTCGGTTGTTCTTAGGCTCAGGAGAAGGAGGAGGGGCAGGAAATAGATATGCTTTTGCCATTGTTTTTAATAGTTACTTTTAGCTTAGGACAGTTAGGCAATCTTGCGTAAGATCTTAAACAACTCACACACACAAATGCTCTCAATAATGTAACACAAACATTGAAATGAAAGAATTTTGAATGGGATTTTTGCATAAGGCACTATGGTTTTCTTTACACATACACTGTATTCACACTTTTATTTTGAGTTCTAGTAAATACTTCTGCCACCTCTGAAAGATGTATCAATTACGTAACTATTTGATGAATACGTCTCTCCTGCAGCTAAATGACGTCAATGTCAGTGCCGACAGCAAAAAAGAACAAGATCATAAAACACAACCATCTTGACTAGGCAACCTTACTGTATATTTTAAAAAGGTGCTCTAAGGACAAACCCCTCAAATATCTTTGTCTTCCCATTTATGTAATTAGCATTTGTACATTCGCACAGTAGTTCCCTTTTCATTTTGACATGAAAAGGCCAAGTTACTCACAATTATTAGTGAAAAAAAACGCAAGGTAGTCAGAAACTACAGTATTACAATGTATTCCATCTGCAGGGGGCCCACAGCTGCAATACATTTCTGTAGCAGGAATGAAACTAAAATTGAACTTTGTTTCATTTGGGAAAAAAGCCATGAAAACACATCAACTGAGATCAAACGAAATGATAAAAAAAAATGCGTTTATATAAATATTATAAAAGCAAGCCTGAATGGTTGACTACCCTTGTTACTTGCTGACATTAACAAATGCATCATTTTGAAGTGAGGGAATAATTCCTACCAGTATTGTATGCATAGGCAGTATTATACATGTCTGTGTCGTCATCTACAAAAAGAAATATACATGTTACAGTAGTGCAACACCTGCTAGTTTATCACAGCAATGCAGTTTTGTTTTCGCAAATACAAACATAACGCTAGTAGGCGATCAAGTCCTGTACTTCTGCACCTCATGTAGGTGTTTTCTGGAGACTCTAAAAAAAAATGTTATACTTACCATAGGTTATTTTTACCATCTTGTCGGTAATAATGGTATTGTCTTGCCATGACACCCACATCAGTTAACCCCAAACTGCAAACTACAGCTGTCTGTCTGTCCCTCTCCCTTCCCCATGCTCCCCGTCTCCTCCTTTTGCCAGTTTTATTAGAGATTATTAAGTTGTTGTTCCTACCAAGAAAAACAATCTCAAATGTTTATCCGTGTGACTAGAGCTCAGAACAGACCTTGGAAGCCAAAATTTTCCTATGTTTACGGTTTTTGTTCTCCCACTAACATTCTGGGTGAGCATACTGAATGCAAGCCATACCTCGGGGGGGAGGAGGGGGGGGAAGTCTTCCTCCTTCCACAAAGGTGTAACGAGCACAATTACTGTTTATGCAGTTTCTTAACATCCGTGGATGTCAACCATGATAAAGGAAGACAACTCTAAAGCTAGTAATAGCAAGGCTCCATGTCAGCAGAAATAAGTATGAAACAAGATGGAAAAAAAGCAATTTAAACAAAAAGTATATCCTCAAAACAGCCTATTAGCCTGTGGTGTTCTAACATAAGCTGTGCAAAAGAAAGCTGGGGTGACAGGAGAGTTACAATGACCAGTTTCTGATCCCTCACAGTGAAGAGGGAGACGGGTCATATTCTTTGTGACGTGTATCACTTCACTGAGCTCCACAGAGACAAAGAATCATACTGGTTTCACACCTATTTTAATCGCTTTAATTTTTACCTATTTCTAGTAATAAAATAAATTCATTATAAAGACTCAGCTTTTAGCAGAGGAAGGTAACTCTCTCGGAAATAAGACCTGTGATCCATTTTAACCATTTGATTTGATTCACTATCTCACACTTAGTGAACATTCGGATTTTCATATGGCAGCCAATCACAAGGCAGAAAAGTGCATTTCTTAATACTGAGAAATACATAGGCAAGACAAAAAACATACTTACCAGGCTTATGAACCATATGGATTTGCTTGAACATTGTCTTATACCAATCCTTCGGCCTGTCAACTGTCTAAATAAAATACAGTTTCCAACAGTTAACAAACGAATAAAATTATCTGTGTGGACAGATCTGATCACACCGTTAATGCTATTTTGGACGCAGAGTTAAGGCCCATTATGCTTTGCCCCCTATTCAATATTCCTATTTTCATACCTTCTATTTCAAATGGTGTATTTCTGTTTTTCATCTAGGAATCTCTGTAACAAATTCTGGAAGGTATTCAACACTGATTCAGTTTTGGACTCTGATCTCGGAAAATAGCAACGCTTAGTAACATAGAAATTGGTGCTAGAAATGAGTTTATCTTCTTAGAGTCCTATATTTGACAATGACTTTACGGGAGAATGCAAGAATCTCAGCTATTACAAGCCTGTAGTAAGAGCTTCTTTTTAACTCCTGGCAACCTCTAATGTAAATTATCTTCAAACTCGTAATGGGGACATACTTTGAAATAACACCAAGAAAAGAGTTAAGACAATACTACATTCCGGAGTTAAGTTTTGGATTGTAGGTGAACAGTATTTACTTTTATCAATTTTAAATTTGCCTTTCCAGGAAACTTAGTTTTCTTTTATTCTTCTATTTTGAGAAGAGATAAGTAGGTAAATACAATTTACCTATTAATATCACTTATTAAATTTTTCTTTATTTTTGAAAATTAAGCAGTCTCAAAGTTTCCAAACTCTCCTCACATCAACATTTGCTCATGCTTCTCACTATTTTTCTCTCTCACCCTTTCACCTTCTATTTTTGCAGAATCTTTCTTTGAGATAGGATGGTAGTATTTCAGGAAAAGGAAGTAATACTGATTACATTAAGGCAAACATTCTCAGGATTATTTTCTGCTTCTTCCTAGGTCCTAAAATTGTACTTGTTTTTCTGACCAGCAAAAATTTTAACTCAGATGAACAAAATTATCTTAGAACCCTACAGAATTAGTTCCATTAGTTAGAACCCACAGGAATAGTTCAGAGTATCCCATCTGATGTGTATTATCTTGCATTAGAAAATACCAAATCTGCAGTCCCTCTGCCCGCGCTCTTCTTTACCATAAAAAGTGAAAATCCATATATTCTTCTCTACAAAATAATCTGAGGATGTGACTATGTTTATGTGGCTCCATGCCATTTTTAATGAATCACACTTTTGCTCTAAATTCTTGTTAAAGTTACTATATACAATTAACCTATTTTGTTGGTGAGCTCTTACTATAAGGAACTAAGCAGAAGATGCTCCCATGTTTTGAGGAAGGAATGAGTTCTCATAAAATTGCCATTAAATGGCTTTTTTGGTATGTGTAAAGGAAGAGCTGACAGTCAACTGACAAACTCAGAGATCTGCTGGGAAAGAAAGAAATTTAAGTGGCAGGTTATGCTTTTTACTGAGGCCTGCTTACAAGAAACCTAGGACATACAGCTTTGTATCAAGACCAGGCCCCTTCCCCCACCCACCCCCTTTCCAGATTTCTGCCAAAGAGATATCGTCAGAAGTAGCTTTGGGCCATTTTAACTTTACTTCCCTAAAGGTATTAAACATCTATACCAGCAGAATTTGCGTAAGATTAATCTAGCAGGACTTAAGCGAGTATGCTGTTTGGCACTCCAAGATCATGCAAGTTCTAAAGCTTACAAGGAAATCCACCAACGTTGAAGGCATTCATGCACATAGCCATACCCTCCATGAAATTCCTTATTTCCTGGGGTAGTACAAACCAGTACTGGTCCCATGGTACCACACTGCCTCTTTGATTGCATTGGGCCAAAAAGAGTTTTCCAACTGAGCTTGAATCTGTGGTAGGCAAACAGATAGGAAATACTGCAAAAATATTACTGCCAGATCCTACTGCTTGCCAAGGGACAAAGATGCATGGATACTACTTTGCCAGATCTTCCGAATTAGCCAGGTCCTCCACAAATCCACAAGAACTTGCACACACAGAGCAGGTATGCAGAAGCTTCCACGTGACCAGAGAAGAAGGTCATATTACCCTCTTCTCCCAACACATTTCTGGGCATTATAACTTTTTCTTCTTGTCAATCCTTCCTCCTTCCTCCGTGTTCAAAGCCTCAGCCAGTAATTTGGCTTTACAGTACAAGTCAGATAAGATGAGTTGAGCTATAGCATAAATTAATTTCAAAATATACTTTCTCAATTTATGTTCATTAACCCCAAAAGCCAAAATCTGTTTGAGAAATCAGCAGTATTCACCAGGGCATCGAGTCATTTCAGATGCCATACTGCTTTGCATATGTTATTGCAATCAAATGGTGGAACACGTGTATCATATGTGAATGAACAATTAGCCAAACAGCTTTAAAAAGACATAGGAAGTATCTGCAATTGGTACTTAGAAGTGCATAATCACTGCAATATTCTAATATTCTAATCTATCAGACTAGGCAATGAAAGGACATGTTTATGACTCTCAGCAGGCCTTCTGTTTTTTTGTTTTTTCTCCTAGCTGAAATGTTACATCACTAACTATAGAAAAGAAATCTGGTGGGACTTGGTTTTCCTTCTTACAAAATAAAGACCCTTTTCAGAGTGCTGATTTTGATGGTTATCTGCAAAGCAATCATTTTACATAGCTTTAATGCAAGTAAAAGTGCAGTCATACTGCTTTCCATGAATCTGGTTTTCTCCTTTCCTAGGACCCTGGCAGTGGTAAAGTCTAGTTGTGCCACTTGACGGAATGCTTT